CACCTAGAGAAAGAAATAGCAACCCACTCCAGTATTCTTGCCTGGAAAATTCCATGGACAAAGGAGCCTGGTGAGCTACAGTCCATGGGGTTGCAAAGAGCTGGACATGACTGAGCACACACAGCACAACAGAGCACCACCATATATAAAATAGATAGTCAGTAAAAATACTCTGTATGACTCAAGGAACTCAAACCAGGGCTCTGTAGCAAACTAGAGGAGTGGGGTGGGGTGGGAGGTGGGAGGGGGGTCCACAATAGAGGGGACATATGTATATATATGGCTGATTCATGTTGATGTATGGCAGAAACCAACATAATATTGCAAAACAATTATCTTTCAATTAAAAATAAAGTAAAAAAAGCTCAGCATTCAAAAAAAAAAACATGGTAGAGATTTTTCTTTGGGGTTTTTTATATTCATTTTCTTTAGGAACTTGGGACTAGTGTCTCAGGACTGCATTGGAAGACACTACATTGCATTAGGCTTACGTCTTGCATCCATTTAATATTTTGGACTTGGTACTTACTATCAGACCCTGAATATGCTTGACACACAATAATTCATAATTTTCCCAAAGCCTGCATTTGCTTCCCACCTTCTGTGAGCCTGCCCACTATGACCATCACTCCACTGTCTGCAATCACTTAGCCTATGCATGAATGCAGCCATCTTGTCCCCACCATATAGGCAGTCACTATCAGGAAGTATGGAGAAGGAAATGGCAACCCACTCCAGTGTTCTTGCCTGGAGAATCCCAAGGATGGAGGAGCCTGGCGGGCTGCCGTCTATGGGGTCGCACAGAGTCGGACATGACTGAAGCGACTTAGCAGCAGCAGCAGCATCAAGAAGTATGGGCTTCTCAGATGGCGCTAGTGGTAAGGAATCTAACCGCCAACCCAAGAGACACAAGAGACATGGGTTCAATCCCTGGGTCGGGAAGATCCGCTGGTGGGGGAAATGGCAACCTGCTCCAGTATTCTTGCCTGGAGAATTCCATGGAGAGAGGAGCCTGACAGGCGACAGTTCATGGGGTCGCAAAAGACTTGGACACCACTAGGGACCGAGCACGCATACATGCATCAAGAAGTATACAGGCTAGGGTGGTTTTCATAAGTTCAGAACCTTCTTGGGATAAAATATCCTGGGTCTAAAAGATTGCGCTAAATCATAGTCTTCATAGGCAAAAAGTCTGAGTGTTCATAGCCCAAGCCCCTTTATTTAATTTTATCTTATGTCAGAGTGTATTTGCTGCTTGTTTGGGCTACTGTCAGTGTGACTTTAGTCATATAATTTTTGGTACAAGAATCATATTCTTGAGGACAAGTTGTAAGCTGTCATATCCTCATTATTTCTTGAAGGCACTATCATGTCTTAATAAAAACTGAAGTCCAGATCTTCTGCTTTCGCATACATTTAGCTGCTATCTGACATCTATTTTGCCTTTACTTGTTAATAGTGTCCCAATTTTTATTCAGGTAACCTCCCCTCTTGTGAACAGATGTTGGGTTTTTAGGGATGCTCTACGGGTGAGGCATATATGGTTTTAGTTTGAGACAATGTGCCTTATTTTATTACCTGGCCACAAACTGCTCAGGGATGAAGTAAGTAAGTAACTTAATTTAGTCTATAGTCTGGGTAATGGTCTGGGTGAGTGGTAAGTGAGACAAGAAGCTTTAGGATTCTAGGAATCCCATAGAGAACATCTTGGGCTCCTGGAGACTCTCCATCATCTTATGTGCTCACAAAAGTCCTCCCACTGCCCCAAGAACTGCCGCTATATCTTCTCCTTTCTTCTCCTTTTCCTTTCCCTCCCTCCCCTACTTTCTCCCCTCCTTTCTTTCCTGTTACTCTCGGTTCCTTCCTCTCCTGTCCTCTCTCCTCCCCTTTTCTTCTTCATCCCCTTCTCTTCCTCCTCCTCCTCCTATCCCTCTTCCTTCCCTCAAATCCAATCTGTGGAGTAAGCCATAATCTTACTATATAATCCCCACCCTTTATATTCCAAAACCTTCCTATTCCCCAGTCTTCTCAAACTTTGCCCAAGCTAAAACCTTCACTCAGCAATCTATACTGACCTTGCTGAACTGGAAAAGCCTGCATCTTCTTCCATTTTCCCTCACACCCGACTTCCCTCTTTCTTAATGTGGTAGCCTTGCGACCTGATGTATATTGATGGAATTCTCAGCACATGTTTGGCTAAAGCCATTTTTTTTTTTTAACTCCTACCACAGCTTTGACCTTGAGGATATTCATATTTCCTCTTTGTACAAAAATCTGAACTTCTTAATTGAGCTTCTGGAACATAGTTAGCATGCTTTAGGATAAACATTCTAATTGTGCTGTTCTATCCCTGGAATAAATAAACTACAGATTTTCCTGATTATAAAAGAAAGAGAAAAAGGAAAAAAAAAATCATTTGGGGACAAATGTTTTCTGAAATGCTTTGTGCCAACAACCGGGAATCAGGAAAATAAGAAGGATACATGCAACTTTCAAGTTCTTGATAATTTTTTATTTTAAAATTCATGGTCTTAAAGATGTCAGGAATAAGTGAGAGAGAAAGAAACAAGTGATCTCTCCTCTGAGCTAGGAAGTCTTAAAAGTTATCTACATGTATATTTTGGAAGTTGGGAGTAGGTTTTCACCCTGGCTGAAAAAGACTGCAATAATTTCCCCAATTCAGGAAATGAATACTCATTGATACTACTCATTTTGGTATAAATTAAGCCACAAAATAATTCTTTTGTATCACTGCAATATATATATATATATGTATGTATATATATATGTATATATATATGTATGTATATATATATGTATACATATATATATGTATATACACACACACGTGTGTGTGTGCAAACACATACCAATTACTCCACCAAAGTCATTTAGCAGCTGAAATGTCTCCCTTCCACTACGTATGTTCCATTCCTAACTCTCCTTTCTGTATAGAATGAACCTTCAAACCAGCTGATAGTTGATTAAATGTTGACACTGCTTTTTGAGCAAGCTGAAAATTATTGATTTATTTAAAAATAACCCTACTTTCCTGGTTTTCCTAGTAAATCATCATGTGCATAAGTAATGTAAATGGATTACAGGAAACATTAGCACTAGCAATTGTTGTGCCAGTTACTAGAGCCGCAGCATGGTTAGAGTCTAGACCAAGAGAGGTTAGTGAAGGCTAATGCAGCAAAATTGCCTATTACCTCCATGTCATCATCACCCCAAAGAAAAAGCACAGCTTCTTCATGAATCTCTAAACCACAGATGGACTAAAAGTGAAATGACCTGCCAGAATTCCTCATTGATGCCTTTTATCCTCCATAATATTAAATTAACTCGACAGTACATGACATCAGAAGATAGAACAAACCTCTTTATCTGCAATTCATAGTGACTTTAAGAGTTGATAACGATGAGTATATGATGGTCACTAGAGGAAATATCTCTCCCGAGTCCGAGCATTAGCACAAGCATATAGAGATACAGCAACATCATTAACATCATTTGTCTTCACTCAATAGACACAGTGCATAGCTTTTACCTTCAGAACATCTGTTACTCATGTAAATGCAGAAAATTTGTCTGAGTTTTTCAAGCAGCAAAATGACCTACATTTTTTTTTTCTTAACAAAAGCTCATATTATGTTCTCAGTTTATGATTTTCTTTTGGTTACCGACATTCCTCCCAGATATTTCCCAACCAAACAAGAGACTCCATTTCACTTGTAGATACCCCAAATGCTGGGTATTTCTAGATACTTGAAATGATGGCTGGATCATAATAAATATTAAGTGCATCCTAGTTGAAAACATCAATGAATGGATCTTTGATCCTCCATACTAAGCTGTCATATATATGTGGTAGATAAAAAAGTAAAGTAAAGGAACAAAAGCTTATTAATTAAGCCTACATTAGGTTTATAGAGAGGTTGCCAATATACAAACATGGTTTCATTGAATCGTCTTGCCTTAAAAGTCAACATATTTGGTTATGTTTGGAGACAGAAATGCAATCAACACTCATTTAGCTACTGCTTTGTAGTTTTAATGTGAATCCTCCTATCGTAATTTTAAACTTGAGAGGGACTGGAGTCTAAATGCTCTGTCAACCTTAGCATAAGTTTATGATACTTCCAGAAATTGGGAACCTCTGGTCTAGGCTACAAACCCTAAGAATGCAAACAATGGACCCACTACATCACCTTGATTAATAAAAGGTGATGCTTGTTCAGCGATATTAGGAATATAATCCATCAATTACTTCCCAACCATTTTATCTACTTCAGTTAGAAAACTCCCCTCCTTCAACATCACTTCTTCCCTTTCAGGGTCCCTTCATTTCTTACCATTTGAGTCAAGTGACCAGAAGATCTTTAATAAATACATATATATATGGGCTTTCCTGTTGGCTCAGTGGTAGAATCCACCTGCCAATGTATGAGATGCAGATTTGATCCCTAAGTTGGGAAGACCCCCTGGAGAAGGAAATAGCAATGCACTCCAGTATTGCCTAGAAAGTCCCATGGACAGAGCAGCCTGGTGGGCTACAGTCCAGGGGGTCGCAAAAGAGTCAGACATGACTTAATGACTAAGCAACAACAACAACAGTTTATATATATAAACTGAGACTTAGAGCAAATTATCACAGAAGGCAGGAGGCTTAGTTCAGGATATGATTCAAAACTGCAGGATATGAACCAACATAAGTAAAGACTTCCTAATACAATTTTTTGTTCAAATTATTAAGCACCTACTATGCACCTTGCATTGGGCTGTGCAGAGAAGACAAAGAGTTTCTTATTTTGTGGGCCTATATTCAAGAGGAACCAACAGATAATAATCGATTAACAAAAAGGAAACACCAGAGAATAAGAAATGCAACGGTAAATAGTCACTGAGATCCAATGATAACTCATCACCATTAGTTTTCATTTGTTTGAAAGCATCAACCACAGAGGAAAGCATCATCATCAGTTAAATGCAATACTTACCACCACAATCACATTTGCTGCTGGGACTGGGCGGTTTTCCACTTCAAGGTCTTGACCAGCCATGGCCAACAAGTTGAGAGATGTGTCATATGCAGGTTTAGGAAATGCTGAATTAACAATTTGGTGGTGTTTGCCTATTTGAGCTTCAGAAGAGGAATGGTAGTTATGTTTGTATGTCTTTTGTAGAGATATATCCAGGCTCTTCTCAATGCCTTGTGAGTGGTGATAAATGAATGTTGGCTTCCCACTCTTCTTCTGACGAATTGCCAAAAAGTGATCATTATTTCTTGAAAGGCATCCTGAAAGGGGGAAGAAGCAGAAGCAAAAATCAAAGACCCTCTTCACTGAGCTGAATAGATTATCTGATAAAGAGAATTACCTGTTCTTAGAAAGCTTTAAGGCTTGTGAAGGATTTAGATCAGTTATTCTCCATTTTCATCCCTACTCCATTATCCCCAATAAAGAGAACACACTTGATGGTATGGAGGCATGTAGGAGGTTTTGGGTGCACAGAAGTGGGTATAGTTTGAAAAAGTCCTATATTTCAGATATTCTAATGCATCTTTTAGTCAGAAATTTCCTCCTTTATCTAAATGCATGGTTCTAATACCTTGCTGAGCAACTCTTCCTGGATGCCCTACCTATTCCTCAAATGACAACTCTTTATATCATACTCAAGCTTTCCTCCCTTTAATCAATAGCATTTCATACAATTTTTATTTCATACTTCTTTTATCCTGCTGATATTTTATAATCAACTATGTGTAATTTTTAATACTTGTAGACTATTTGAAGCTAACTAAGGGCAGAAGTCTGAGTATACTTATTGTGGTAGCAACTCCCAGTTGAATAATAATAACCATTCTCCCCTTCTTACTTAGTAATATGGCCATCCAGATAAAGTATACATTCTCTTTTATTTCATCTGTTAGGTAAATATCCATTGACTTGAATAGCTCTTTTATTCTTTTTATCATTGGCCACAGAAGGAAACAGATAACATATACATGTAAGTCAAAAGAATATCACTAGGTCACATGCCAATTAGAAAAGCAAACTTAAGATCTTCTGTATAAGATGACAAGCAGATTGAACAGATCACAACATAGTAATGCCATCCACGTTGTGCCTAGCAACCTAGGCACCACAGATTTTCCCTCAGGATGCCTATGGCAACAATAAGCTATAAAAATGCTGTCCCCAGAAGATGACTTCCCTCTTTTTATAAGAATTCTGGGGTGCCTTGAATTCTTACCAAATATTTATAGTAGAGAAATTGCTAGTTTTTATAGCTTTTCCTCCCACCAAGCCTCTGTGACCAGCATATATTTAGAGTACTTTCAGTAATGTTATTTTACCAATATGCTCTCAACTCTCACTTAGGGATAAGAAGACAGGTTATTTTATTTCAGTAAGCTCAGCTGCATTCACCATGATGTAATTGTTTGGAAACCATTGGGTCCCAGTGACTTTAGGCTTTTAGACCATTCAAATCACAATTAAACTCCATGTGAATTCTGAGACAATAATAGAAACTAGTCGTCATGTCTTCAATCCTCGGTATGCTGAAGAGACTAACTTTTTAGAAAAAGAAATCAAGTTACTTTAATTCACCAACAATGATGATCAGACAGTATGACCTTGAAATAACTGTAAACTTTGTTTCTCTGAATGAGGTAGGAATTCCTCAGATTTGGAAATGACACTGTCATTAGGAACATACATAAATAAATATGGCCCTTCACTGTTAAAATTCTTGCTGTGTTTTATTAATGGAGAATGATGATAAAATGTTTTAGAGACATATTAACTTTCTGACCACAAATGTTTGTTTAAATTTTACTAAAAGTGCTTTAATAAATTATATTGTAGTGTCCTACTGTAGGGGTCCCCAGCCTCCAGGATCTAATACCTGATGATATAAAGTAGAGCTGATGTAACAATAACAGAAATAAAGTACACAATAAAAGTAATGTACTTGAATCATCCCCAAACCATCCCCCATCAGGCCTGTCCATGGAAAAACTCTTCCACGAAACTGATCCCTGATGCCAAAAAAGCTGGGCGCCACTGTCCTACAGTTTTTCTATACTATAGGTGAACAGTTTCCTCCCTCCCCTGTTAGAGGACTGAGTCTGACATTGTAAAGAGGAACAATGGAGTGGTCACCTTAAGGTTAAGAAACAGAATGGAGATACTATTTTTATCTTAGCTGACTTTTTAAACATGCCTCACTTAAAGATGGTCCCTTGTTTCAGAAAAGGCATAATGCACACTTGAATGAATTTAGGTTTCTCACCTGGGGGTTGGTTCTCCTACCAAAAAGAGGGATTATAACCCTATATAACAAGATAGTGCCATAGAGATAGGCATGTTAATTAAAAAATTAACATGCAAAAAAGATTGGAAGTCCTTGCAAGATTTGGGAAGAGAAAAAAGAAAAATAAAAAAAACATGGTAGGGGATGGCGAACAGTTTCACCAAGAAAAAGAAGTAGCTCAGAAGATCAGAAAACGCAGATTTATGAGAAGGGGAAAACTTAATGAAGAATTGAGAAATTGATCTTCAATCTTTCTTTTTATATGATATGAGGCTTCCCTGATGACTCTGTGGTAAAGAATGCACCTGCAATGCACAAGACACAGGAGATGCAGGTTCAATCCTGAGAAGGAAATGGCAATTCACTCCAGTATTCTTGCCTGAAAAATCCCATGGACAGAGGAGCCTGGCAGGCTATGGTCCAAAGGGTAGCAAAGAGTTGGACACGACTGAGTGGCTAAACACATGATATCAATCCCCCAAAAATAGAATAGGTGCGTCCAACTAATAAAGTCTCTTGTACAAAAATAGGCCTACAGAGAAAGATGAAAAAAATCTAATTTTAAGTGCAGTTGAAACACAACTAGAATCTCCCAACCCTATCAGTTTTATATGTGAAAATACTCAGCCCTGCCTTGTCCCTGAGTAATAAGAACCAAGTTGGCATCACTATTAATTAGGAATCCCACCAAAGATATTAGGAAAGAAAAAGTTTTTCAAAGTGTTGTGCTTAGATCGCTGCATCAAAATTACCTGGGATATTAAGATTCAGATCTCCATATCTTAGCCTAGAACTACCATAGCAGACTCTCTGGAAAGGTAGCTTACAAATCTAGATTTCTAATCAAAATTTTTTCACATTCCAACTCTGAAGTTGAGGACCACTGAGTTAGTATTTGGGATAAGTTTTATTTTCTTGTCTTCAAATATTAACCTTTTTTCATTTCAACATTATGAATATATTCAGATAAACATTTTGGAAATTTTAAGATTCAGATGCCTATTAAAGATCAAAGTTCAGTTCAGTTCAGTTGCTCAGTCGTGTCTGTCTCTTTGTGACCCCATGAATCGCAGCACGCCAGGCCTCCATGTCCATCACCAACTCCCGGAGTTTACTCAAACTCATGTCCATCAAGTCGGTGATGCCACCCAGCCATCTCATCCTCTGTCATCCCCTTCTCCTCCTGCCCGCAATCCCTCCTAGCATCAGGGTCTTTTCCAATGAGTCAACTCTTCGCATGAGGTGGCCAAAGTACTGGAGTTTCAGCTTCAGCGTCAGTCCTTCCAATGAACACCCAGGACTGATCTCCTTTAGGATGGACTGGTTGGATCTGTTTGTAGTCCAAGGGACTCTCAAGAGCCTTCTCCAACACCACAGTTCAAAAACATCAATTTTTTGGCACTCAGCTTTCTTCACAGTCCAACTCTCACATCCACACATGACCACTGGAAAAACCATAGCCTTGACTAGACAGACCTTTATTGGCAAAGTAATGTCTCTGCTTTTTAATATGCTATCTAGGTTGGTCATAACTTTCCTTCCAAGGAGTAAGCATCTTTTAATTTCATGGTGGAGATGTTTAATTAGAAATTTAATAAGTGTATGCTTCATGGTTGGAGAGAGACATATTTGTGACTCATCCAGCATGGATAAAATTTAAAGCCAAGTGACTGGAGATTCCTTGAGAAGAGAAGAGTAAACAGGACAGAGCTCATGGTAGAATTACAACATTTCGAGTCAAGAAGCTGGATGAAATAGAGCCAACATGACAAATGAGAAGGAATGGTAGTAAAGGAGGAAAACCAAGGAAGAGTAGTTCCTAGCAGATTAAGGAAGAAAATGTTTTAGAACCTGTATGTATTATAAGGTCTGAGAAGCAACTGAAGAATCAATCTTATAGTGATGTCTCTAGAAACTTGAATATAAATGGAATTTCCATGTGTTTCCATGTAAGGTAAGTCCCACTGAAGACATAAAGAAAGAACAAATGAAAGAGAAAATTGAAGGGGCCTTCAAAACAAGTTAATTAAAACATCCAAATAGAAGAGAAAATAAAAATAAGGGATTTGAGGGAAAGAGAACTGGCATGTTTGAATTCAAGTGAAAATCATAGAAATGAAAAATATCATAATTGAATAAATGCAATACGTGGATTAAACAGTAGACTAGACACCACTAAATAGAGAATTGGTAAATTGGAAAAGTTTAGGTAATAATTCAGAAAGCAGCACAGAGAAATTAAGAGAGGAAATAAGAAAAAGAAGGTTCCTTTGGGACTCTAAGACCCATGCCTACTGGCATTCATGCTCATTAAAAGTGAGTGAGACCTCACTTGTGATGGAATGTCCTTTCTGTGATTTGGCTAAAAAAAGGTGACTTTTGTGCTGCTGGGAGACTCCTGTTGACTTTGATGAAGCAAGTTGTTGGAGAGGTCCACGTAAAGAAGGAGGCTTCTAGCCAAAATCCAAGGAAGAACTGAGGCTCTCAGTTGCACCAACAAATAAGGAACTGAATCCTGTCAGCAATCATGCAAATAAGCTTGGAAGCAAATCTGTCCTCGGGTGAGCCTTCACCTAGGAGCCTAGCTCAGGCCAACACTTTAACTGAAGCCTAATGAGAGACTCTGAAGCAGAAGTCTCCAGTAATCCATGGCCAAATTTCTGCCTCACAGAAACTGAGAAATACTAAATATGTATTGTTTTAATTTGCTAAATCTTATAGCAATTTGTTATGCAGTGATAGGAAACTAATGCCAAGAGACTAAGTGATTTTTTGAGAATAACATGGTACATTGCAAAATACCTTTAATAGCATTTAAGAAATGAAACATTAGGAAATTGAACATTTTTTTAAAATTTAAATAAGGAAGTGATAATGTAAAATTTATATTTCTCAGAGGTCACTCTGGCTGTACAATAAAATGGACTGGGAGGAAGCAAAAGTAAATGCAAATGTATGGGGTAAAATATTTTAGACGAC